CTTGTGGCTCCTTCCTCTCCTCTCCACCCCCTTCCCCCCCCAATGCTTCCATTTCCTGCCTGGCCAGACCCTGCCGCACTGGGCTTTGAGACAACACAGGGGCAGATGCCCAGAGAAGTTACTAGAGGGGTGAGCCCCATTAGCAACAGCTGTAAAACACGTCTGGGTCGAGATGCCCCTAAATGCAGAGAAAGGAGCCAGGCCAGACGTCCCTGACCACCTTGCCAGGCGGGACAGCGCCCACATCAGAGGTACCTGGGATGCCTGTTAGAAATGCAAATTTCTGGGTGCATCCTGCACCCACTGAATCGAACCTGAGTGTGGGTCCTGGGATGCACAGGTCACCTCGTCACCTGGAGTGGTTCTTAGGGAACCAACGTTTAGGAGCCCTTGCCTGTGTGGTTGCTAGGAGCCCAGATGTGCCACCTGTAGTGACTGGGCTGTGGGTCCCCGGCTGCATACCAAGGGGACGCGACGCTGGGCCCCAGACCCCAGCGTAGTCTGCAGCTGTCTGTCACGCTAGTGCCTGGTGGGTGGCAGCTGAGCAGCCCGGGTGCCCAGAGGCGAGCTGGGTGCTTTCCCGCTTCGTGCCTCCAGTGCAAGGACGCAGAACTGCTATCCTCATGTCGCATCTGGAGGCCCCAGTCCCTGTTCCCGCCAGAGCAGCTGGCCCTTCGTTTCCAAACCAGCGTGCTGAGCTGCCTCCCAAGCCCCTCACCTGCTTTTACCGATGGCTCGGGGCGGCACGAAGCACCTCGGAGGTTCCATGGTGCTGGAGCAGGTGACTCACAAACGCTTTCCCGCTCTCGTCTTCAGTACTGGGGAGGGCTGTTCGGTCCTGATTTGCCGTCCCTAAGGGGGCTGTCCCCAGAGGGGGCTGTCCCCAATGATGTCGGTCACTGGAAGAACTTTGTTTTTCCCCAGCTGGAGTGGGAGGCAGGAGTCCGATTCTACAGTTGTGAGGCCTTGGGGATGGGAATAGGGGCTGGTGTGACGGTGGCAGCCCAGGGTCTCCAGGGACTCTCGTGGGTGCCATAAGCACGCATCTTAAAGTTCTCTGTCTGCCTCCGTGGCCCGTTCTTCCCTCCCCCGGTCTGTTTGCTTAATGGATTTCTCTCCCAATCCGTGGGGCCGTCGAGATGGACCAGGCAGTAAATAACAGTGGCAGGGACTCCGCCCCTTGACCCCTTTGGGGACAGGCGGCATCGAAGGAGGCATAAAAGAAAGGAAAGCGCTTCATTGATTTTCTTGGGTCACACACTTTGCAGAGATGCCTCTGTGGGGGGCTGGCGGTGGTCGGTCTCGCCGGGCGGTGACGTGGAGAAGGAAGCTTCTGCGTCATCAGTCCGCGGAGCTGACAGGTTCCCTGGGGAGTTCTCGAGGGGTGCCCTTTCCTGTTTAGCTAACTGCCTTTCAATGGGAAGCAGAATAAACACCTGGTAATCATGGTTACCTGCCCTCTGCTGAGATAAACGGCCAGAGAGGCAGATCTTCGCCCTGGTGGGCCCTCGACCTCCTGTGAGAGAGACCGAGTCTGTGTTCAGCCTGGTGGCTCTGGTGGCCCAGGGCGGCGCGGGGAGCACGTGGCCGAGCGGCCTGGGGTGGGGGCCTGCCGCCCTCCCCGCCCTGAACCCCCGAACCCCCTTGCCACTCAAAAGCAGGGAGCAGTGCTGTGAGCGGCTCGGCTCCAAACTGGAGAGGGCACTCAGTGCCTGGCAGACACCCAGAGCACTCTCCTGACGGACAGGTGGGTGACACATAAGCCACCTCTGCATCCCCGAGGCTGGGAGGGCGCTGTGCACATCAGCCGAAGAAACGAGCATGGGTGGCAGCTGGAGGGGGCCTCGGGCCGCCCCTTGGTCAGCGGTGCTGAGCGTCACCCTGACCCCAGCACTGTGCGTGCGGCGGGAGGGCCTGCGACCCCCGTTTGGACGATGGTGTTGGGGTCGCCCCTGGCATCAGGCACCTGCCTCAGGTCTGACTCACAAAGCGATTCTGTGAGGCGGGAATGGGGGCCGTTTCCTTGGAGAGGAACTGGGGCTCAACCTCCCCCCGCATTCAGTGCCGC